ATAACAAATACAGTAATATAAATAAAAAAAGAAAGTGGTGACTCTGTGCCTCTCAACAAAACCACAGAGTGTGTAATAAATAACAAGGCCACAATTTTAGTGAGTAAAAATCATTAATGCTGGGAAGAGCTTATTTCAATCTTCACTAACATTTATTACACATGCATGCACACATTCACCTCTCACCTCAAAATTAACTACTATATTGGTATTTAGAACTATTGAAAGAAAGGTACCCCCGGAACGTTCCTTAAATCATATGACAAACTTTATATTATACAGTTTAACTATGATTCTAACATAAAAAATAAGATGTTTGAAAGGTTTCTAAGCCCCCCTCCTCTTCGGCAGCAAAAAACATTTTCGGCAGCAATTTTTTGGTCAAATTAACATTATCTTCTCTAATTGAAAAAAATATGAAAAATAAGAAAATAACTTGCTATAAAAATTTACTATCAATAAACATTTTTTGATATTTTTTCAATGCCAAATTCAAGTGCAAACAAATCCTTCGAAAAAAAAAGCTGTGTAATACTTTACACTGAAATAAGCAGAAAAAAATATCAAACCTTCCTCTCAAAATACTGATTAAAGTGAATTTATTAAAGGTATGTTTCATTGCCAGAGTGTGGGAAGAAAGAAAATAAAAGGAATGAAAAGAAAAGAAAGAAAGAATGGAAGGAAAAATACTCATACACACACACAACTATTTTACTGTTTTTCTGCTTTTAAAATCACTTACAACTTTAAATACACATCGAAAATGACTGCAACAATTCTGAACATTTATTATAGTACTTATTATTGGAGAAATTGAAGCTTGTTGAAGCACAGAGCACCCTTGACATTGTAATTTATGGGAATTTGTTACTACGTATTGGCTATTCTGTGTAGGAAGCATTCACTTATCATCGACAATGTCTTGAACCTTCACTGTGTATTGCTTAATGTTTGCAAGCTCTTTCACACATATTGAAAGGGAAGTAAAGTTATCATACTTATTAAAAATAAACAAACTGACCTTGCACACGCTCATTGAAGTGCAATGTCACCAGAGAGCACTTTTAACACAGGAATCTTTCGTTTAGACGCATGTTACAAAAGATGTTTCTTCCAAGAACAGTGACAGACAAACCAAAAAAATCAACTAAAGGAAGCATAAAGGAAAGAAAGCACAAAGAAACAGAATTGTTACTGATACCCCAGAAAAAAATATATATGAAGAAAAACTGAATATACCATCATCATCTACAAAAAAAATCACCAAAGAAGACACTTGAAAAAACAGAAAACCCTTATCATTTAACTATTACTGTTGTATTTCACTCTCTTAAACTACTGATCATATTTTATATTGTATATATAAATGTTAGATTTTCTTTTTTATGAGTTTATAGTTTGCATTTTTAACATATTTAATCATGGGTGTTATGTTCATTTGATTATAAGATGGTAGTGAGAATGGAATTCAAAGGAACACATGTCAATTTTATATTTTTGCAGAAAGAAACAATGTTATAAAATTGTGTGTGTGTGTAGGGGGGATGCATTGAACTTCATGTTCAATACTGGTGCACTATAATTATATTTTGTTGAATTTCAGATATAGTTCCATATGCATTACATATGCCCTTTATTTTTCAAGATATACTGTGGTAAACAATGATGAAAAATAGTCTAGTTCAGTCTAGTCTTCATTCACAGGATATTTTTTTCCCTGGTTTTCTCAAACACTGGTAATTCAAATTGTTTATCAATTTCACAACATTCTAATGGAAATGAAAACTCTCAAGTTTGAAAAGATTGCATTCGCATCATTATTACTCTCCTTGATATCATTTTCATTGCTTCAATTAGACAACAATCAAGGAATAATCAACGTCCTCGTCAGAAAAATTCAGCTCCAATTCATTATTCAAAAACTCTTGAACTTCTAATGTTGAGAGTTACAGTGAATTCATGTTTTCTAAAGATCTGTGTATTTGCTAATATTACAAACACTACTTACAAAGAAAGACATTCTGGACGTAATCAACAGTGCCCACAGTATGAATATCCAATCGCTTTCTAGAAGAATTCCAAATACTTTCACAAAATAGAAGTACACATTAGCATTTGTCCTGCGACCACCTAATGATATTAAAAAGTATATTTTAAGTGCATATGAGCGTCACAAAGATGTTTATTGCCTGTCAAAGGAATTTGAAGGAAAGAGGATGATATGGTACAATTTAAGTAAGTTGTTTAAACTGGCAGTTTGCATTGTTGCAATGAAATCTACAGTGGCAGGACAAGTTTAGTTTTGAGGGGTAGTTTTCAATGGTCAGGTGTAGTGTTCTATTGCCAAGCCCAGTGTTATACGTTGTTTAGAGTAGCAGAAATTTTAAACAGGTGTTTATGAAGTGCAATGCATTGAAACAATGAATTGGATGTAAACTGGCTTTCTTAAGCAACTGGAGTTCATTCCAGAAACTAATAAAAGATTTCCATGTGTATCATCTAATGGATTTATAAGGAGAGTTTCCCTAAAATTAATATCACATAAAATTTGTTGGCAATTATGCTTTGGACATATTTACAGATATTTTGTTTCTCACAAGTTCTGAAAGACCAAATCTGGTGTTTATCATGATCTTGGAAATGTGTGGCAAAGTGTTAACTAGGCAGAACAAATAATTTGGTGAGAGAAACTACACAAGGAATGCAAATGCATATACTATTTTTGTAGAAACTGAAGTTGTGGAGCTTAGAAGTTTATTCCACAGGCCTCAAAGATTTGACTGCAGAAAAGTTTTGTAGATTTCATTGTGGGTGTTTATTTGTAATTTTATGGTGAGTATATGAAGAGAGACATACTACCTGACATTTACCCCTTCCCCATTTAAGAACAGTTTCAGTTTGAGATATTGTTTGTAGTTTCTAGTTCCACTGTGTCAGTCATACATTTATATTTCATGAAATCAGCTAATCTTACTATACACCACCTCAGCTGACTCTTCACAATATACTTCCAAGTTGAAAATGAGGCCCACAATTTACATACAACAAACTTGAGCACATTTAATGTGGAAAATAATTTCCCATACATTTTGTGCCAAAATACTTTTCATGGTCATACAACTAAAACTCAGCCAATTGTCTTACTTTCTCCGGTGCCCCAAGGGTAATGACAACTTTATTACCAGTGACATAAATTTTTGTTACTATTAATATGTTTAGGTAACAAGGTAAAAAATACATATGTAGTTAAGACTGAAAACAAATTTGTGTTTTACTGTAAGTTTATTCTGTACTAGTGTTGACTTTGTATTTGTTTGTTTGTTGTGAAGAAATAGGTTAAAGAGTTGCCAACACAACCAAAAAAAGTTTGCACTTTTACTGCCAGTTGACTTCATTTAGCACTTGTGTTGTTGTTTTTTTGTATTTGTTTATAACAACTAAATTTGAGTTTTTAATGAATATTTTGTTACATAAAATGGTATGGTAATGGTATATACGACATAAAATGGTACATTTTATATAAGAATTTAAAAGATTATTAGGATTTTAAGTTTTTTTCAGGACTTATTTCACATGTTCCTTTTTTTATTGCTGTTTTGTTTTTAATTTTTTAGGCTGAGGAAATTTAGCAAACCCTATCCACAATAATAGTAGTAGAAATTATGAAAATTACAACTGGAAACACCAATCGTGTCATATGAAATGCAATAATTCTTTATCTGCAGAACATTTGTGCAAGTTCTTAGAACTTATGCAGAATGTAAACAATGTAAAATTCTTCATTTCTTAAAGACTTCAACCAGCATTCATTTCTCTAGACATGAGTATCCGTATGTCATTTGAAACAACATTACACACTACAAAGCAGGGAAATTAAACTTAAGAAACTATAGATATTTAGAAAGAAAAAAGAAAACAAAAAACAACAACTAGACATTCTTTATCTTTGGCTGTAAGAAAGTACCAAAATCCTATACCCATTGGAAACACCAAAGTCAGGGCAAATAATTGACCAAAACATTACTATTAGTAAAAAGATAAGAATAAATCCATGTATTTAAAATAATAATAATAATAATTATTATTATTATTTTGTTGTGAATTAACCATAGTAACAATATTTGAAAGACAAAATATACTATTGGTAGAAACATTTTTTTTTGTTGAGCATCTCCAATGCAGAATTATTTTTCTTTCATAATGCTGTCAGCTTTCACAAGAAACATATTGAGTTCATTAAATGTAGCCCTGACTATTACAACTTTCTAATTTTAAAATGTATACAAGCTTTTGAAAATAACTGACAGTTCAGAATAATGCAATTAACTTTGTTTAAAACAGAGTGACTTCTGAGAAATCATCAGCTGGTCATGGTCATCCAATTCGGAGCTTAGTTACAACTTAAATTTTTGGTATTGAAGCTCCCGATTGTAAAACTTGTCACAGCTGATGATGTGTCATAAGTCACTCTATTTAAATCGGATTATTACTGCAATTGATTGCAATATGAAATGTACATATTTGCAATATCAGTTTAAATTCAGTTAAGTTTAAGATGTATTTCATAAAGCATTACTAGGACTCGAGTTGCTTTAAATACACAGACAAAATAAAGATGTAATGAAAGAATAATTTCCAACACTTATTCCCATATTTCTAGATGCAAGTATTACCTTTCAAGTAAATTATTTTCGCTGTCTGGGTGACTCAGCGTCACCTGGTCAGGCAAGATTATTTACATGACTCAAGTCGCAGAAATCAAAGACTTCAGTATTACCTTTCGTTACTCAATTTTTTCTTGAGAATGAAAAATATAAATCTACATACTCTATTTCACAACACAACAAAATTGAAAGAAAATAATTTTCATTCACATAATTTTCAATGAATTAATACAATATTTATATAAATGTTTTTAATTTTGTAACCTATCTTTCAATAGTTAAACTGTAAATTTAGGAGAACTTATAAAAAAATGATAAAATGAAAGATGTAAATACCTGAAATCTAAGCTGAGGTTACGTTGATGATTGCTGAGTCGAGTGCGGACATGTAGGGCAGGTCCACTGCGCCCATGGACAGGGGGAACATTGTTATGACAACAGGTCAGTTTCTGACGTTTGATAAAGGCTATGTCAGAGCGCTTGTCTGGTAGCAAAGTACCAGATGCTCCAACAACAGCTGATGGAGCCAAGCCACTCATGGTGGAGGAATTGATTAATTCGATAGGTCATCTGCTACCCATGTTTTCTATGTTTTTCAGTGCAATGATGTCAAGACCTGGGGAAATTTCATAGAATTCAGAATAACAAATCCCTGAGCTGTTATTAAATGGAAAATGGGGAAACACTCTAAAATATAAAAAGAATCCACTTCTCATTTGCCATGGCACTAAAATTAAAAAATATTGAGAAAACCTTATACAAAAATTAATACAATGTTCCTTATAAACCAAACAAAACTGGAATGTCTAAGAGTTTATCAGGTTTGAAATCACTGCTACAACAGTATTGATACCATAATGACAAGAGCATCTAGCAGGTAGCATTCCTTCAACATGTGTTACTGATCCCATCATAACAACTGAAATATTATGGATAAACAAATATCACATTTGTATAACAGAATTAAAACTAAATATTTAAAACATTTCAACAAAGTACGTACATGTATCATCAAGGAAATGTACTGATTACCATCAATTAATATAAATGGGTGTGCCCACAACTCAAATGCGAGACCGTTTTATTACAAAACCACAAAATGTTGATATAAAGCAAAAATTGTTTTTACTCACCGACTAGTCGGAATTTTCATCCAACTTATACACTGAAATCGTGTTAGAAGATACACCAATTTTACTTCCGTGTTTTCAATCGACTTTCTACAGCGGACTAGTTTGTTATTAAGTGACAGCTAGGTTGATTTAATTTTCCAAAGAACATGAAGAATATCACTCACTGGCGTACGCTAAAACCAAAACAATATCGCATTCAGGTGCACAAATTAAGAGCACTTTTCAGCATTACACATTCTGTATTTCTAAATTTTCTGTCCATTGCTTTCTACAAATTCTTGCCACGACAGCCATATTAGACGAACACGATAGTCGTACCAAGCTACTACAAAATTTCCTATGCGAGGCAATCTCGTAAGAACTGTACGTTAAATTAGTTTCTAGAAAGATAGTTCAATACGGTTAGCAATAGGCTATTTCAGTGGTACAAATTCTTGAATTTCTTTAATTTCATCTAATGAAAGTCTTGTTTGAAAGTAGTTTTTTTTTTGGTATGTTGGCGAGGCTTGGAAATAGGTGGGGGGTCACACACTGCTGCAGCTGCCCTCGAAAGCTGGATTTCTAAAATGCGTTTGAGCTCTCCGGCTTGAAGTAAACATAGTGAACCAAAATACCCCATTTTCATGAGGGATTTGGGATGCGAAATAAAATTTAATTAGGTCTCGTTCATCCCCATGAAACATCTTCCATTTAAAATTGCTTAAGAGTGACGCAAATATTTAAGGATTTTTCATTTCATGTCTTTAATTTTATTAGTATAGCACTTTATCATTTAACAAAAAAAAGTTGTTTACCATTACTATATCATGCTTCCAGCTCAGTAGTTTTAAAAGGTAAGCAAACGACAGCAATTAATCCTGTCAGTCTGCTAAGTGATACATATGAAAAGATAATAGGCTGGGGAAGAAAATTAACACAACAAATATTTCTATTATTTATTTATTTTCTCTCTCTCTCTCTCTCACACAGTAAGAGAATATAGAAAAATAATAATACAAGCAACAATTTAACTTTCAGGTATCTCCTTCATTTCTACTTCTTCAATTGTCATTTCATCAAGCATTTCTTCCAATGTAATTTGAGGTAATGTGGGATCATCTATCTCATCAGTGTCTATGGGTATTAGCTTAGAAGTGTCTTTGAAAATGTTAATATTTTGGCGGTATTCTCGATCTTCTTCAAGGTCATCCAAAAACTCGATGTAATCACTGCAAATAACACCACAATTGATATTTATTACAGAAAATACTATTACAACACATTTACATTACAACAAATACATACTTAGTTTCCTTCTGAAGATTGCTATATTCCTCATTCAAATGTTTCAGCTTCCACCTTCGTCTGTGTTGACGTGCACTTTTATTAATACCGTAATATTTCTTTACTAACACCACATCAGGAACCTGAGAAGGATTTAACTTCTCAAAATTCGAGTCATTTACATTACTATCTCCCAGAGCGTACCTAAAATTTGAAAAAGGAAATTACATTGAGTTGATAAAAAGAAATGTATCTTCTCAGGGCACTTAGTTCACCAATTCAACAAGTACAAAAATAGATCAAGTTTGACTTACAGTTTTTCAAATTCTAAAAATTGCTCAGTGCCTCAAATACAAAACTTAAATAAGGTCTTAACAGTACATTTTAAATTCTTATTCACATGAATAAACAAAAAATATGGCCAGACACACTTAACCTTTTTGTAACTGTTTTATAAATAGGTCAAAACCATGTATTAAAACTTGAATTCAAGCAAATAAGACAAACTCACCCAAGAACAGAATCTCCCGGTTTTAAAACATGTCCCAAGTGAGATCGAGTGTGTACTGTATTTTCTGTACGACCCAAATCTGAAGCTCTGACAACCCAAACATCTGCCAGTACATGCTGAACAATGAAAAATAATAATATTAATAATAATAATAATAATATAATAACAACTAAGAAGACACTTTGCCTGAATTTATTTTAAAAAACTTTTTCACCAAACCTTCTGAGAAATGGCTCCTTGCCCAGGAAATGTCTTTTGGTCATAATTTTTCATAATTTCTACATCCATAACTATGTATTCAGTAAGCTGTTTAGGATTGCATATAGAATAGAATGGATTTCTCCAGAAGGCAACAGCACTAACTTCAGCAACTGAGAATGACCATGAAATTCGAGCATTAAACAAGAATCTTTGAATCCACATGCAGGAAAAGAAAGTAAATGAACACATGATACAGTTTTCAAATGTTATCGACATAAAAAATAAAAATAAATATGTTAAATATTTTTTGCAAGAAAAACAATACTAGCAATTATATTTAGTAATTAAGAAAAGAAAGTTATAGTGACTTACTCTGAGCTGAAACAGGGCTGATGATGTGCACAGAATTTGTGACCCGGTACACAAGACAAATCTGATGAATTCCCCCTAGATTATTGCTAACCTTTTTTGGCAAACAAACAACACTGTCTTTGGACAGAGGAACTAGTTCAACACTGAAAAAATACACAAATCAAACATACAAAGTTCAGGCATGAGAATTAAATTCAAATACAGTTGACTCTGATTATAGTGAACTTCTGGAAATAACATTTGCAGTTCACTATATCCAAGGATGTCAAAATTAAACAGAATTTCTCTATAACAATTGATTTTATTAACATAGAGATACAGCAAAATACATGAACAGGATTGCAGCAAACTGAAAATTTCAACATCTTTATTTGTTCTTAAAAAATAAATTTCTTTTCCATTGTTTGCTTTGTACTTTTTCATTAGTAATTTCTCTAGATCCTTCTCCACAGTTAGTGCTCTCTCCATTATTGATTCTCTATTGTCCTCCAAGACTAAGTATCGTAATGCAGTCTTCACACCCTTCAATGCCTCTTGCACTGTTGGAATAACATCCCATCTCTGAAGGTCCTTTTACTCCCGAGAGAAACTAGATGTTTCGGTAGCGGGATGGTGCAAGCAGGTAATGAAACCGATCACTTTTCTGCGCGACAGGGCAGATATTGCCAGCCTGTAGCTATCACGTGCTTCGTATCGCCTACGTAGAACTTAACACACTTTGACTTGGAGAATATCAAGTTACATCAAGATTGACACTGAAGAAAGCAATAGTGCATCGTCACGGCCAGTTATAGCCCACGCAGGACACAACCTCAGTTTCCGCAGTGAAACTGAGTAGCATAAGGTCATGGTGCCCATTCTCGGTCCCCTACTTTCGTCGCCCCACTTTCACTACTATTATGGCCTTTAGCGGACATTTTTTCAAGCTGCCTGGGTTGAAATTTGTGGCACTGAGGTGATTATTATTTTCCAGGACGTTGTATTTTAGATGTTCACTATAGCCGAGGTTCAGGTTCACTAGAACAAAGTTTTCTTATGCTTGTTTATAATGTAAGTAAAACAGAACCAGTGACCTAAGTTCACTGTATAGAATATGTGACATATAATTTAAGAGTATGAGAATGAAAGAAATTGCAGGAAAAGGGAAATGAAATTTGAAAACCAAAATGGAAAGAAATGCCTGGACGTTAAAATCATTTCAACTGCACCATTTATCAATTTTATCAACATTATTGAAGATAGAGACGTTTTTCTGATAGAAATTTGTAATTAGACCAAGAAAGGTCGCACAACACATAAAGTCCTTTTATATATAGTAGTTTCAGTACAAAAGGAGAAACTTTCAAAATAATTATTAACTTTTTTAAAAATTGCTCCTGTCGACTGATTGAAATGACTAAAAATTACCATGATTTTCTCACAATTGTGTTAAAGTTGTTCTTTATACTTCCTGATACATTTAAGAGCACTGAACCACAATGCATGCAAACGACTTTGACTAAACATTTTCTTTTTAATTGCTCATATTGAATTTCAGTTCTCGATGCTTTCAATGAAGTTAAATGTAATCAAATAATGAGAAAATAGCACCTCAAGAAAAATGTAAGCATTTTAAAAAAAGTAACACTAATTAATAAAGAAAGTAGCTGTTATAACAACTTCAATTTTAACATTTCTTAACATAAATCCCAAACAATAACAAAAGTGTTCCAAAAGTATAGTTTTATTTAAACACATGATATAATTACATTTCTATCCACATAAGAGCGGGCTAGTTTGAAATGCAACAATCTTCATTTTTTGTCACTTGTCACAAAGACTCTGCCTTGGCAATGACCCTGCATTACTTCCCTACCCCATCCCCAAGCATGGGGTCCCGCAAGGTTCAATCTTAGGTCCTATCCTCTTTTTGATATACATAAATGAAATGCCCTCGTCTATTAAAAACGGAAGAACAGTTGTTTGACACAAATGTTCTTTGCAAAAAAGAAACAAATAGTTCGATTTCAGAAGTTTCAAATTGGTTTCATAATAACAATGTTATGAAGGAAATGAAGTTAATGAAGGAAAAACTGTTTCAATACATTTTTGCATTTCTAATCAGCAATCACACGCTCAATGGAATATGAACAATGGGCCCAGGCTTGAGATTCTCTTTATTCGCCTTCCTCCTTTCCAAATGTTATACTTTCCCAGATTAGTTTCTAACTGTGGTGACTTTTCTCTTACTGGTCTTACCTTAGTTTTTTTAAAAATTATAGGATTCTTACACATTATACAGTAAAACCTGTCTAAGACAGTATTGTTAGGGTCGAACATTTTTTTCCTGTCTTGTACAGATTTCCAGCTTATTCAGGTTTGCATTATAAACTGTCAATTCAGAAAACACAATCATTCAAAGATGGAACAGGTTATACGAGTACTTTATCTCTCCTAAAAACTAAACGTCAAAGAAACGAAAAAATCCAGGGAGAGTCAAAGAAAATTACTTACAAAATTGCAACATGAAGTCTAATGAAACAAAGAATTCCATAAAAGTAATAAGTGATAAGCCAAAAAACCCTGGTTGTATTTTGCACAGGAAAAAGGGCATCTATCATTATAAATGCAATGTAAATGTATACATATGGGACGCGTATAGCCAAGGAATACAAGTTGTTAGGATGACAGATAAACAAATTATAATAATATAATATTCCACGCTTGATGACCAAACGCTATTCATTTGGGGAACACGGCCCTGAGGACATAACATGCAGGTGGGATGAAGGTGGCATTGGGAGCCATGGTTCTGTGAGAATATTGAAATCATGTGAGTGAGAAGTGTGTGAGAAGAGCATGCCATTGGTCTGTGTGTAATTGAGAAACAGAATCCCCAGATGCAGAATAATATAATAAGCACAGAGATGGGGTGCCACTATAAATTAGAGCTAAGGTACAAAAAGAGGATAGATCTAAGATCTATCTTGGCATTATGTTTGGGGAGCATGAAGGTCCTTTTTATTGAGAATTATCCCCAGAAGGAGGGTAGGTGCCAGGAAAGAACAAAGTAGGTCTTTTATGCACTTTTTCTCAAAAGAAAATGAAACAAGCATCAAACAAAAATACTCTAGCATCACTAGTTTTCAAAATGTATAAATTAACACCAAATGAATTGTTTGAAAATGTCCAAAATATTATCACTTCTGCCTGTTCAATAATAATAATTATAATACAAAGCAATGAGCAACAACAAAGAATTCTTTTGCTAAAATAAAACAACACATACTTTCTAGCCCATATTATCACGCAAAAAGTACTCAAATTTTCAAAAAATTGTACATGACCTTATTTCAAAACCTACTTTTAAGGGCGAGATTTCAGCAAGGGAAAAAATCTCCATCTTTAACATTTTAGTGGTAGGAAGACGTTGAAAAAACAACTTTTGCAATTTTCAAAAAATCAGTTTTTTTTAACAAACATGAAACCTGCACCATTCTCTTAAACTTTCTTCACACCATGGAGCAACAAAATTTAGTCACAATTGATGGTGCCATGTTTCTGAAAATGTCCGAGGGGCTTCATGTAAAGTACCCTCCAAAATTAAAATATTAGTTTCAAAATCAAGGGCCGCAGATCGATAGAGGATTGTTAAATTCAGAGAAAATCAACTGAATGGTTTAGCTGGTAGCATTCTTCACTGACAGACTGACTGTTTTGCTGTCATTCAATTTTTCAGCATTAAGGATCCACAAAACATGGATTCTGGCTACACCACATGTTAGAGGATTTTTTTTTTTTTCTAATTAAGCAACAGAATTTATCCACTCAGTCATTACTATGACTCTGTAATATGGGGTATTCTGCTGAAAATTCAAGTTTTTCCCCCCACTCAGCATTATAAAACTGTCTCTCATTTCCGAAAACAAATTTTCTACACTTTTACCCAGTTTTCCACAGCATTTTTTAAATAATTTTTCACTGATAAGACTTGTAGAGAATTTAACACTATTTAAATAAAACATTAAATCCGAGATTGAAGTCCCTAAAAATGGAATGTCCCACGGGTCTAGCTCCAACTAATAATCGGCGTTCAAAATCTGTTAATTCCCGTCATGCAGCCATAAACCTTTCCACAAGAATCACTCGAGTATAAATGAAAGTGCAGCCAATGCACTGCCCTTTCAGATTTTTTTGTATGTAATACTGCCGTCGGAATAATTGCATGTCACTGTTCCATGATTTTTGACACCTAAGGGTTTCCATGCATTAGTATAAACTGTTGGCAACCTTGAATGCATACATCACTAATTTTTTTTCTATCTTACATATACGCATTACCTCTCACTTGCCTATCAGGCCCCATAGCTTTCGTAAGCAAGTCGAGCCTGCCTTGGCCATCAACATTCACTGTGGTTAAAAAGCTACTGGGATCAAGTTAGTCACTTTACTTTATTTAAAATTCTTTACTCCAGGACAGCCAAAGGAAAAAATCTCTGAATGGTTAAATAAAGAATAGTTCATATTTCTAAAATTTCTAAGATTAAAAGCAAAATATTAAAATGCCATCATGTTTTTGCAAGGGGTGGGTGGTGGATAGACGCTCGCAAAGTAGTTGAAAATTTGTATTTTGAATCATAATTATCGCTCTAATTCATTCTGTAATGAGGATTTCATCATCTTACCTGGCTAAACACTCGTAAACTATACGTTTTCAAGATTTATACAAAGTATTTCATGTCTTATTTTGACATTTTTACACCTTATAAATTTGAGCTCTGACTACAATGAATGCAATGAAAAGGAGTTACTTACCTATAAGTGAACTTGTAATTATACGTATTACTGTGCGTGTCATGAGAGATAAGTTTCTTGGATTGTTGATAACGACATGGTAAAACAGCTTGTAAAAAATCAACCAATTTCCGAGCATGAGCTTCTGTATTAAAATGAAAATTCAATCCCTCTGCAAAAATACATTAAAACAACATTAACCAAATAAATCTGGAAACTAATTGGTAGGGGTGGATTTTGATGACCTAAAACATAGCCAAAATTTATCATTAAAATGCTCTGGAAAAAAAAAACAACCTAAAAACAAAGAAAAATGACATAAAAAATGTGAGCAAAACCAGTTTGGATGAACATCACAAGCTGTTAGATTCAACATCCATAAGTAACATTATGTTACTGATGTAATCATGGAGTCTTCCTTTAGTTCAATTGAACTCAGCTTGCAAACTTTTAGTTTGGACTTTTCTATACCAAAAAAGGTCTTTAGTTATCCCGAAATCGGTCGAACCGACACTGGCGCTGATAGACATCACAGGATTCTTAGATTTCATACTCGCAACAATTTCTAACCAAACATCGAATAGGCTACTCAAGAATTCTGTATAGAACATTTGTTGTAAATCATAAATATTATTTGAAGGAAGTATCATTAAAAGGTAATTAAAATCAATGAAATCACCAATAAATGCATTAAACGTGATGGAAAAGGTTAAAAATGACTTATTAGTAAAAATCGATGAAAAATGCAAAAAATAAAACAAATCACACACAATAAAAATGGGTCCTTTTCGCACCATAAAATTAAGGTCAATACTAAACGCATTGTTCTAAAAAGAAATGACATTTTTTCAAAAACTGACCCCTAAGTAATGACACTTCCTTTAGAAGTTTTTAAGAGCTGGCATTAGAATACAATATGTCTCTGACGATGTTCAAGACAGAAACATGGTGGAATATTGAATAGGAGATACTCTTGCTCTTTGAGAATACGGATTAGAGGATGCATCAACATCATGTGGCAGCATCTATTTTAAGGTATATGAATAATTTGATATCCTACTTCGGTAACTTGCGTCAAGTAGCAGTGCAAGCATACGAGACTTCTGCCAATTTGTAGATGCGGATCTTCCTGGAATGAAACCATGTTGTTGTTCAGGGATAATATCATTTTAAAATGCACGATCTAAAAGCCGTCGAACAATTATACTTTCCATGACTTTACTCACTGTGTTTGTTCAACTTATTGGTCTGTAGTTTCTAGGTAACTTTTCGTCTTCTGTCTTGAAAACTGGCAGCGTTTTTCCATGCAGAGAGTAACTTCTCTGATTCTAATGACTGTTTAAATATTCTGTTCAGTAAAGAAGCTAGATGTAGTTAACAATTTTTCAGATACACAGTTGAAATGCCATCAGGACCAATGGATGTGCTTGCATTCAGTCCACACATTCTCAGGACAGTTTATGTTTGAAAATTCAATATTTTTAATAATTCCAGTACATTTCTCTTCATTAATTGGCAATGGGCCCTCTGATTTAACAGTATGTACTTTTCAAAAATCATGTGAAAAGTATACTGCGATTTCACTTGAATCAGTTTTCACAGAATCTCCATTCAGAACAATCGCAGGAGAACCAGTTTTGCAGTTAGTCTTTGTTTATAGGAAAAGAATCTTTTGTCATCATCCTGAACAATTTACTCTTCGTGTTTTTGTTTACAGTCTCACATTAGAGATGTGATTGTTTAAGATGTTCCTATAGATGGCATAACTTTGATCTGTTTTGGTTCTTCTATAATTTGTCCATACTCGATAATTGAGTCTGCTTTGTTTTATGATCTCATGATAAATCCTTTGTTTATTTAAATTTATTCTATTCTTGACATGTGATGAGTGAGTATTTAAAAGACTCCTAAATGTTTCACAAAAATTCTCATAGTTAGTTTTAACAGTTGTTGTTTTCAGCGTCTCTGTTAATATCTGTATTTCGTAATGTATGGTGTTCAGTAAGGTGTCTCATTATTATGTAATCTGTAGGAAAGAAATTATATTTGGAGATAGATTTATAAGAAACACTATTATTCATAAGCAATTCTACTTGTAGCAATGTCAATCACCAAGTGATCACTTTGACCAATATTTGGCCATATAATCAGGGGTGTAATTAAGTCTTTGTCATTAGTTAACCTTAAATCAAGAATCATGATTTACTCTGCATCTAGTAGGCTCAAATAGTGAGATTTGCATCTATATAGAGTTTAATAAATCTCTTTCAATTTCTGGAATAGCTCCACGTTTGGTCCATGTAATTGTGGGAAAATTGAAATCTCCAAAAATAATAACTGGTATCTTCAGGTGGCATATCATAGCCATTTTCTCAATTAGTTTGAGATCTGATTGCTGAGGTCTTGTATCAGGTGTTAATGGCCTACATATTCCCCCTACAGCATATACTATGTTCCCATATTCTAGTTTCAACCAGTGCGCTTCCACATCAGGGTTTTGTATTTCTCACATATTTGTCACTTTCTCAGTCGTACTTCCAATTTTTTGGTTCAAATAACATTATTACTCCCCCTCCTCTCCTTTTTTAATGTATTTAAATACATTTACATTTAAAGGACATTGACTAGCAAAACATCATTAATAAGGTTTACACTTGGTGTATTTTAAACTTAAAAAAGTGAATAACAATTAATTTTAGTCGTTCAAGAAATATAATTCAAAATTTTTATTCCATTAATGGCAAACATCTTTCAAATGTATATACTGTGAGTAATAGGGGTAATATTTCATGATAAAATGAAATTGAATGACCATACAGATAAAATAATCAATAAATCCAGTCAAATACTAGATTTGTCAAAAGGACTCATCATGAATTAAATTCAATTAGAGTACTGAAAACATTATACCTATTGCTCATAAGACCCTTACTCCTTTTCTGCTCACCTATTTGGAATCCTTTCTTTGATGATCATATAAAACATCAAAAATAGTGCAACGTAAGTTTTTCAAAATGGCTACTCATTATCTTGGATTATCTGATTGACGTTAAATTTATTTATAAATTAGGCAATAGTAATATTACACTTCCTCAGTATTGGGAGAATCGAGATTTAATGTGCCAAATGGAATGAGAAGGAAAGTTCTTCCACTATTTTACACTTGGAATATACACTTGATGTATGGTACTGAGTACTCTGCGATAATCCCATAACGAGAAGGTGCAATTTTGTAAAGGTATACGGAATTGAATTAGCATAAATATAGCAATGTTCAATAAGACAGCAGAGACTGTTTTTGTAAAATTGTATTTACATGTGGACATATTGTGTCCATATAAAAGAATCCAATCTGAGCAGAGTGCACATCTGTCAATTTTTGCATATACCTTATTTCAGAAGGTTCCACAAAAGTTGCCCCTCCTATTCTACAGAAAGATGAACATGGTGTATTTCACTTTGTAATATCGATTGAAAGTTATCAGTGAGAATTCTGAACCTTTATGTGATATGAACACTATTTTTGCCTACCACAGCTGATGAATTCCTAGATGGGCAATTTAGAGAGAACATGAACTTTTTGATGTTGTAATGATTAACATTTCATCTATATAGTTTCAAAGATCTTAAAAATTTAGTAGTATTGAAATTCTTACCATGAATTGGTTTAATTCCTAAAGTCTGTTCATGAGCTTTGTGTTTCAATATAAGTTGTTCTAAATAAAAAAAAGTTTTCTTGTTATCACATTTTTGTCGAACTTGAACCTGAAAAGAAAGGACTTATTAATCAGATTAATTTTATTACTGAAGAAAAACAAAAGTTATCTTCTGATTTCACATACAAGAGCCCGCCAATAATCTTGTGCTTCAACATGATGACAATCTTCACACATTTGCGAATTCACAGTGAACTCAACAACAAAAACTTGCTGCAAGACTGCTCCTCCTAAGACCTCACCCTGAACTGTTAGTTTCACCTATGACAATAAAAAAATTTTATTTTGCAAAACTGACAACAATATACTTGATAATAATCAAAAATGTTCTCAATTATTTGAATACTGAATACAAGATAACAATTTTGACCCTCCAAAACAACAATTTAAATCTTGCAATTCACAAGAATTGCATAATTTATCATATACAACTTAAAACGACAATCTTCCAGAAATACATACCTTAATTCGTTTTGAATGAGGTTCAGTCCATACAAACCCAGCATCAACCAATCTTACCCTATTCAATCCTTTTAATTTAAAAAGACAGACACTCAACAATTCTCGCGATTCCAACGAGCATGCAACCCATTCACAAGGTGGTTTAAGGTACCTAGAGAAATTTTTTAACATGAAATGAAACTGATGTTCCAGAAAAACAATTCACTGTAATTGTATTTGTGAACTACCTTTCACATCCTTTACAAAAATGTATTATGGCTTGCTTTGGAATCCCCTCTGTTATGTCAATCCGAGACCGCAAACATGCCACACACATATTCGCAGCATTTGGCTCAATAACAGTTCCACATTGACAACATAATCTGAAAAATGTCAACTTGTACATATGAAGGGCCTCAATTCTCTTAAATAAATATATATTAGGAATTAAAACCAGGCTACTTTACATTCTGGGTGTGGTCTCTTCAATTCCATCAATATACTCCATCATATATTTATTTTAAAATACAAGTTTTGTTTGACGAAAATACTTCGTTTACAAGTTGTACTCTGACTCGAGTATAACTTCACCTAAACAATCCTTACAATAACTTGCAGATACGCACAACATATAATCACAAGTTGTGAAATGTCGAATTACAGTACACGCGAACACGATACTTCCAGTTATTCATGACGTAGAAATAATTCAAAATTTAGATGACAATTATTTAAATAATACAAGCTCACGCAGATAACCAAATTTAAAACACTAGTTCTACGACACGTGTTATATGCAATAAACCACTCCAGAACAGCCACAGAGCACTCATACCAACTCATACATAATGACATATCTCAGATCAGATATAACCTGGTATAACCAGTATGTTCAATCGTGGCAAACGTGGCAAACCTATTGAAGAAGTTTTTTCGATCACGTGACGTCCGCCATGTTCTTGGTATATCATCCAACGCGCGAAATACAAACGAGTCCGAATAGTGGCAACCAGGACAGCCCCAGAGCGCCTGTTGCGGCTGCAATTCTGCGTCATCGCCTGAATAGGTTAGAGATCTTCGCACGAGGGCAGAACTACAGCTCGATTAGCTTACCAAACTATTTGAATAATTTGAATTACTTTTTCTACTTCGACGGTTTCTTACCTTAGAGTTTGTCGTTTTCGATTTCCATAATTCTCGGTCCTCCATTGACCCTCTCCAATCCTTTCTCCTCCATTACATCATGTATATATTCTTCCAGGTAAAACCAGGTCTACCTTCTTCTACGTCTTCTTTCAGGTATCCAATTTAAAATTGTTTTTGCCATCTCTCATTTCGCATTCTCTGGACATGTCCATACCATTAAAGAGCTTTATATTCTAGTCTTCTGGTTATGGTTGTTTGAAACCCCAGCTCTTTCCCAAACCACTTCGTTTCTTATTTTATCCAGTCTTGTTATCTGCGCAGATCTTTCCATAAAGTCGAGCTCTACCGACCGTATTCTTGTCTCTACGGCGTTTTGTTAACGGCCACATTTCTGCTCCATATAATATAATACTTTCCACGATACTGTGGAATAGTGTCCTTTTGTGTCTTGCCTTAAAACACTATTCAATATAAGGCCATGCAGAGCTTTGATTGCATTCCTCCCCATTGCGAGTCTAGTAGTTATATCTTCATTAATTTTCCTATTGTCAGTAATTTCAGTGCCAAGATATTTAAATTTCGAAACGTTAGCTATCTCGTCATCAGCGACATTAATATTAGAGGCATCTTATCCTATGCATAAATATTCTGTCTTTTTACGGTTGATTATAATTCCCCATTTTTCGTATTCTTCTTTTAATTTGCGAAGCATATACTCCATATCTTCCCGATCTGATGCCATAATTACCTGATCATCTGCAAAAAGCAAATAATGTATGCACTTGTCATTTATGGAAAGATGTCTCCCTGAGAAAGAATCTCTCCCTGTGTTCATTTTTTTCGATTTTTACTAATTCTTTAACTTTTCTCATTTCTACACATCCCTTTCGTGTGTCGTCATTCCTATTTGAAATCCATGTCAAATATATTTTTTTTTCTTTTCTTTAATCATTCTTTCTAAATTTTTGCTAAATTTCTCTACAAACTTGCTTTTTTCTTGCTCCACTCCTAGAACTTCCTTAGCTGCTTCAAAAACAGCCTCTTTTAAATTATTGTACATTTGTTCGGGACTTTTATCTTCTGAGTTTTCTAGCTTATTCTTAATTCTGTTTTGGTACAGCATCTCAACACTGAATTGTTTTAAAAGGTCTGTTTTAAAATTTACATCGTTTTCTTTAATTAAAAAGTCCGTATCTTTTTCAGTACATCTTCTTTTATTTCTAAAAGGAAAAACATATTTGCTCACTACCATATGATGATCAGTACCACATTCTGGTTGACGGTATACTCTCACATAATTCAGTTTAACTCTTCTTTCATTCTTCACCACAAATAAATCAATTACATATTAAATATTTCTTACTGGATCTATTCGTGTATATTTGTGGATGTTTTTATGCCTGAACAACGTATTCCCTACACATAGTGCATGTTCCTTACATAAGTTGATTAATCTTTTTCATTGTCATTAATATTTTCTTCTCCGTATTGACCTACTACTTCACGTTCCCTATTACCTACTCTGCTATTAAAATCCCCAATTAATATTATTTCATTTTGATACGGAATACTCGCTACAGTTTCGCTGAGGTCTTGAAAGAATTTATTCTTTTCATCGACAAGTGCATTATCATTTACGGCATATACCCCTAAACTTGTTATCTTATGACGTAAAACGTTCATGTCTATTCTTAGTATCCTTTCATTAATATTATCTATCTTTTTAATGAATTTTGTCCATTTACGTTTTATAAAGAAAGAGACTCCACTTCTAGCTCTAAAACCTTTGGGTACACCACTCCAAATATGAAGATATTCCTTCAAATTTTTTTCCTCTGCCCTTTTTTTTCTTCGTTTCCGTAAGTATAATTATGTCCAGGTTCAGTTTTTCAATTTCTGAGATGACCTCCGTCTGCTTTGTTCGTAGGCCTTGTATATTCCATGTTCCAATTTTCATTGTCAGTTTTCGTAGCCTTTGTCGTAAATTTAATTTTTTCAAAAAAAAACCTTCAGTTCAAAGCGATTTAAATATGCCTCGGACCGGACCAAAATTTAAAAAAATTAAATTTAATTTGAATTACGACGTCACAAATAGTGGTGCATGTTCAGAAAAATATGTATATGCTGACAAGGTAATTGGAAAATGCTCCATGAAATTGTAGATTATGTTAAAAACTATTATGATAAAACGAAAAAAAAATTAAGGACACTCTCTTGCACAAAAAGGCAGGGTTGTTAGCAGGGTTCTTAGCAGGCAGCTTAGAGCTTGAGTTTAACAAAAATGTGACATTACTACGAAACGCGAAGTAAATGCATTTTTGAATACTCTACGTGTTTTTCGAATTAGGTACGATTTCTTTTTATTTTCGACTGCTTATAGTTATGCGAAACAGGCATATGAGAAAAAAATGAAAGTCTAGAAATTTTTCGCAGGATGGGAATATTGCGATTTTTATGGATTACACTGAAATTATTTTGGTGTATCTTGCAAAGTTAAAGCTATTAAGGTTCTGGAGAATGAGTAGGATGATGCGCCATTGTCAGTCACTGCGGCCCGAAAGCGGTTGCGTAGTTTGGAGGGGGAGGACATTGCGTCGCGGGCGACATCAATTAGAAAATTTTATAGCGTGTTTTGAATTATTTATCTAAAAATTATAATTCAATTGTTCTAAATTATACTGTTCTTTCAATGTGCAAATATACGTGTAATTTTATTAAATAATATATCAACTATTCAGAAATATATATGGGGGGGGGTGAAAAACATCAGTTTTGCCCCGGCTGACACCAACTGAAATTACGCCTCTCCCCGAGTCATGTAATATTTACTCCTCTTAGCTCCGACCGACCAGCTGAAATCCAGGCAAGATACAAGTGAGAGCGTAGGCTTCCGCGGCCAGAGTCAGGTACAAGGCTGTCCGGATGACCCCGCGCCCATGGCGAAGGTGCCGACGGTTCGGTCGCCATTCTGCGACCTTCTTTTTTTTTTCTTTTTTTTTCACGCAAGGAGCAAATTTGTGCAGTTTTGTGAACGCACTTAAAGTGCAATGCGCGTTCACGGCCACCGCGGTGGGACCATTCCTACCCTTACGGGGCATCTAATGGCTATCCTTGTAACCATGTAAGAGAAAAAACAACGGTCAAAAAGGACATTAGCCTACCGGCGCGCGCATTGCGTGTTTTGTAATTACTATGTTTATGCCCCCAATCCCACTCTCTGTTTCAGATTGCTCTTACTCCAGAAAGTGCTTTCGGTCGCCTATACTTCGTCCTTAGATCGGGCTCGTATGAGGCGATCGCCGGAAATGAGTTCATTTCCGAATCAGGCTGCTTTCTCAAAAAAGTTTTTAGCTAAAGTTTTTAAGGGCATGTCTTTAGCAGTGGCACTGATGCTTCCGCGATGTAGAGTTCGATTCTAGTGTATCTAGGCGCGCAGCAGGGCGGCCCTGAGACACTCGTTTTGAACTACTTGCAGTTTGTTTAAGCTGATAGTTTTGCTGCCCAATTGCCCAACTCGGGCATGCGTAGTCCATTTGCGCCTAACTTACTTTACTTTAATGAAAGCGTGCAGGCATTGCCGTTGAACAGTTTTAGACTCCCGCCTGTTGAAACAAGCCTATTACGCCAATCTGCGACTCGGGCGTGCCGGCGCTTTGTGTCGCACATTTTCTCAGTGCGGTTGAACCAAGTTCTAAAGAGCTATCTAAAGTAACTTCTAGATTTATATTGACACCTATTTTATTGCTCCAATTTATCCGTCCCGCAGGCAAGCGCGACGTGGACCTCGGGCCGCGTGACAAATCTCTGTCTCCGTCGTGAAGAGCATCAGCTGATGCTCTTCTTCACATTTGAGCCTGTTGACCCGCCACAGGTTTCAGCCACTCTGGATTTGTAACAAGTAAACTCCAAATATTTAGGCTTCTCAAGGAGCTCGACTTACTCATTATTGACGTGAGCGATTCATCACGCCGTGTTGTCTGCGTACAAGGCGAGCTCTGTATTCGCAGGACTGGCGGTGGGAATATCTACGCTACGTACTAGGCCTGCAAGAGCCGTAGGAGCAATCACGTCTCCTGCGGCATCGCCCGTACTGCCGGCGGCGGGTAGCATTTTTGCCATTCAGCAAGCGATTACTCTATGAAACGTTTGTTTGCTAGGTACGATTGGATGAGTGTGTACTAAGGTACATTAGGAAGGTTCTATAGGGCCGGCGGGTGGGGGAGTTTATAAAAGGAGGTCTAAATGGCACGATGCCTAACCTTATCATATAAGGCGCTGGAACATTACGAGGAAAACTCACCTGTCAAATCGTGCCGCTCATGAAGTTGCTGGCATTTATGTTAATCGGTCCTGACTATCGCACAAGCTGATGCGTTTGCTAATGCTCGACGCGCGACAAGCCAAATCTGCTCCTACCTTTAAAAGTTGGTGTTTTTTTCTGTAACAAATCTTAGATTCCTTTTATTTTTTTAGGGGGGCCAATCTGAATTTTTCATTCTATTTTGCTTAGAGCTTTCCCGAGCGTGTTTAATAGCTAATGGGCGCTGTATTGCATTCGGCGCCATTATTCGGTTTTTTTCCCGGCGCTAACAATGTTAAATACATGAGCGTAGCTTCCCTGATTCGGGAATATTGTGAACAATAAAAATAGCATTAAACAGTCTCACTCGGATGCGACCACAAACATTGTGAGCTTGCTGCGGCCAGCCTTTTCAGAGACGTCTTAGTGATGCCGGTCGGCGGCGGGGCTTTTCATAGTCTTTCAGTCCGAGATGGCCGCTTCTTTACCTTCA